TGGCCGGTAGCCGGCATCGCCGTGGAGGTCGCGGTGGGTGGCTCTGGACCCTGAGGTCTCATTCGCCTTCTCCAGGTTCTGCTGGTCTCCAAGGATTTGGGGAAGCATCTTCTGGAGGTCGAGGACCTGCTGCAGAAGCACGGGCTGCTGGAGGCTGACATCTCCGCCCAGACCGAGCGGGTGCAGGCGCTCAACGCTGCCGCGCTCAAGTTCTCGGAGCTGGAGGGTAACGTGGGGACGGGCACCACGAGGACCGGGAGATGCTCGGCCTTGGATGGGGTCAACCAAGGTCTTCAGGGTGCCGTAGACCATCTCCCCTAGGATCTGGTTCTCTTGGTCCAGGCTACCAACCCTGCGACCCCCAGATCATCTGCAACCGGGTCAACCACGTCCAGACGTGCCTGGAGGAGCTGGGGGAGCTGGCGGGCAAGAGGCGCAAGGAGCTGGAGGACTCCCGCCAGCTTTGGGCCTTCTTCCAGGAGATGGAGGAGGCCGAGGCGTGGATCCGCGAGAAGGAGAAGATCCTGGCCGCCAAGACGTGCGGCCGGGACCTGAGCAGCGTCTTGACGTTGACCAACAAGCACAAGAGCATGTTGGGCGAGCTGGGCAGCCGACGGGCGCTGCTCCACCAGACCATGAAGAGGGGCGAGCAGATCTTGGCCAAGAAACGTTTCGGGCCCGGTGGGATCCAGGAGAAGATGCGGGAGGTTCGCCTCCGCTGGAAGAAGCTGGAGGAGGTGACGGGATTGCACCAGCAACGCTTGCAGGAGGCCCTCAACTTCTTCCAGTTCAGCGCCGAGACGGACGACCTGGTGGCCTGGTTGCAGGACACCTACCGCATCGTCTCCAGCGATGACTTCGGCCACGACGATTACTCCACCCAAGCTCTCCTGCGGAAGCACCGGGCTGTGGTGGAAGAGGTGGAGAAGCACCGGGCGGCCGTCTTGGCCCTCCGGAAGCAGTTGGCTCTTCTGGCACCCGAGCACCGGCAGGGGGTTGACGTGCAGATCCGGGTGGTGGAGGTGGAGCAGCTCTACGGGGAGGTGGCCGAGGTGGCCGTGCTGCGGCAGCAGTGGTTGCAGGACGCCTTGGCCGTCTACCGCATGTTCAGCGAGGTGCACGCCTGCGAGGTCTGGGTGGACGAGAAGGAGCAGTGGTTGGAGAAGATGGAGGTGCCGGAGGAGCTGGATGAGGTTGAGGTGGTCCAGCATAGGTGGGTGGGGTGGGGTTGGGAGTGGGGCCGGACACCGGGGTTCCTCGGCCCAGCGGGGACCTCGCCGCTTGCGTCTCCTCGCCAGGTTTGAGAGCCTGGACCAGGAGATGAACAGCGTCATGGGACGGATCTTGGACGTCAACCAAGTGGTGCAGCAGTTGGTGGATGGGGGCCACCCCAGCTCGGAGGAGGTCCGCTCCTGCCAGGACCACCTCAACAGCAGGTATGGCTGTGGGGAGGGGGCCGAGCTCTGGGGCCGAGTCCGTCCCAGGGGTCCTCAATGCCCAAGATGGGCCCCACCCAGTTTGGGGGCTCCTTGGTGAGGGGCACCATCCATGGGGCTGGTTGTAGACTCCAGCCTGGGGTTCTCCCAGCATGGTGGGACGTCCCATGGGGTCCAGCTCTCCAGTACAACGCACCAAGCCCATCCTGGGGGTCAGGAACGCCCAGGCTGGCCCTCATCCTGCTTGGGGGGGTCCCCAGTGAGGAGAACCATCTGGGGCTGCTGGCAGACCCCAACCCTGTGGTTCTGCCAGTGTGGTGGGACGTCCCGATGGGGTCCAGCTCTCCAGTGCAATGATCCGAGCTCATCCCAAGCGTTGGTGATGCCCAAGGTGGATCCCATCCTGGTGGCGGTGCCGGTGCAGGGCTCCATCCTGGTCTGGTCCCACCTTCCGTCCCCATCCCCAGGTGGAACCGGGTGGTGGAGCTGGTGGAGCGCAAGAAGGGCCAACTGAGCTCCGTCCTGAAGATCCAGAACTACCTGCTGGAGTGCAGCGAGATGAAGGAGCAGGTGCGGGAGAAGAGAAAAGCCATCGAGGCCACGCAATCGGGCGGCGGCGACCTGGGCGGCGTGTTGGCCCTGCAACGCCGCCTCTCCACCATGGAGGCGGCTCTGGTGGTCTTGGAACCTCGGTTGGTGGAGCTTCAACAGGAGGGCGAAGCCTTGGCTGCGTCCCACCCCGGGAGAGCCCTGGAGATCCTCCTGCCCTTCGAGCAGATCAGCGAGGAGTGGGAGGCCCTGAAGAGGGCGCTGCAAGGTTGCGAGGACTCGTTGACCGTCGCCGGTCGCTTGCAACAGTTCATCCAAGACCTGGACAACTTCTTGGGTTGGTTGGTGAAGACCCAAGCGGCCGTCGCCTCCGAGGAGGTGCCCGATAGCTTGACCGAAGCGGAGAGGTTGTTGAACCACCACGCGGCCCTCAAGGAGGAGATCAACGGCTACGAGGAGGACTACGCCAAGATCCAGGCGGCCAGCGACCTGCTGGCCTTGGAGGAGACGGAGGTCCCCTACCTCTCGTTGCAGCAGTGGTTGCAGAAGTTGGACGCGGGGTGGGGCAAGCTGCTGCGGAGCTGGGAGACGCGGCGGGAGGTGCTGGTGCAGGCTCACGTCTTCCACCTCTTCCTGCGGGACGTCCAGCAGTGCGAGGCCACCCTCTCCAACCAGGTAGAGATGGGCTTGGTTGACCTTCACGGTTGAGTTGGGATCAAGCGATGGAGACCCCCACCACCAGCAGCTCCTCCGTCCCTTCTCCAGGAGTCCACCCTGGTCCACGCCGAGCTCCCGGACACGGTGGAAGGGGTGACCAACGCCATCAAGAAGCACAAGGACTTCACCACCACCATGGAGCTCCACCTGCAGAAGATCCAGCTGGCCCTACAAGCCGGCGAGAGCCTCCAACGTCAAGGCAACCTCTACGGCGACCGCGTGGCCGAGGCGATGGAGGGTCTCCGTGCCAAGTAGGTGCCGGGCCGGCAACGCCTTGCCC